TATAATATAATATAATATAATATAATATAATATAATATAATATAATATAATATAATATAATACAGTATCATATCATATCATATCTTATAATATTCCTACATTTGTACGAGTCTCCGAAAGCGAACGGTGATTGCCTCGCCCACACCTGCATGCATTTCAGCATTGAGTGTTGAGTTGTTTAAATTATTTGACAACAAATTAAAATATTAATCATTAAATTAAGCAACAACATAAAATGCTGCATGTAGGGGCTTTATTGTTATCTATTTTTATTGAATTTCTTCGCTTCTTACCCCCGCCCTTCGTTCTCCAGGTGCCGAAACGGCGATCTAAATGTTTGCCGTTTAGCCCAGCCATACAGTCGAAGCCATCGGGTTGTTCAGAAGTCGACTCGCATTCCGAAAAGACAGGGCCTCCAGCAAGAGAAAGAACTTCTTCTTCTCCATCTGGAGCGCATCATTAGACGCGTTCATCCCAGCATTCATGCATGCATGCAAGGGGTTGAAAAATAAAATAGGAAACAGAAAAAAGAGAAAAGAAATCGCAGTGCGAAAAATGCCTTGTGATGCCCACTGTATGTTTGCTGTACTCACCGCAAGAGAAAGCATCGCCTCGCCTCGGCTCAACGAAAATAATGAAGGGCACTGCAGTTCGTGAGACCTTGAATTGAATTTCTCCGGGTGTATGCACAGATATAAAGTGAATGCCAAGGCGATGAGCCTCCAAGGCTCGCCCCGTTGCATCAACGCCAGAGAGAAGAGTGAGGGTTTCGTGAGTATCGTGCGCTATCCACCAGCTGCCTTTAGGTGGTTCAAGGGGCAGCGGCTCGTTCTTAAAAGAAGCAATAAATAAAATCGAAGGAATATTCAACTCCAGAGAAAACGCGTCGATGTTCGGCTGATATAATGAACGCAACAAACGACGACCCATATATCTTAAAGGCACATCGACAAGGAAGTGGTCGCGGTTATCTATGAAAGGCTGAACCCCGTTATACAGAAAACCGCTGTCGAAAACCTTGGGGTTTAATCTGAAGCATTCGATTCATAAGAATATCAACATCAATGCGTATAAGATAACGCATGCATCATATAATATAGTTATTATTATTGCGTATATGCATTATTTATGTTTATAAACAAAACATACCCCGAAAACTTGGGGGTCGGCGCAACGTCGGAGGAGAAAAAATATTTTCCGGGAATTACCTCCGGCTCTTTCGCCCCACTACTCCACAAGAGTCTGCAAAAAACGACGAATAAAATAAACAAAAATTGCCAACTAACAATCAAACCAACTTAAAACACACGTATATATGATATATTTTTATGTATTTGTTGGGTACTTGCCTTAGAACTCCGGTATCTGGGTTATTGAATTTGAGGTGGTTAGAATGCACGACCTCGACGCGAATTTTGTATTTTTCTCCGCCGACCAACTCCATTATTTTTGATTCTTTTTTCTTTGTTTTCGAGGATTCATTTGAAAGTTTATTTGCGGGCAAAAGAGGAACGGGTTTCAGCGAAAAAGCCTCCTCTGTCGTTGTTGGCTGCGGCATCCGATCGACTATGATAGCGCGGTCGTTCAAAAACACTCGGACTCCGCAATCGGTTTCTGGTTGAAAAATGCAAAAAAAGGAATAAACAAAACGAAATATTTGATTAATTACTTTGATTTAATTAATTATTTAAACAATACACACCTGTGTAGAAAGTAAAAGGTCCGCTGTGAGGCGCCAAGATGAATCCGTCCCAACCTGCACGACACACGATAAACCATAATGACCAACTTGTTGATATTTCAAGAGCAGCAAAAGGCAAAACATGACGAAATTTGTTTATTTCTTTTAATTAAACGTACGAATAGAATATGAATAGGGAGGAACTCCTTCAATTGGCCCCTCAGCGAAAAAGAGAAAATCAATCGATCGATCGTTGCGGTATTTCGTCGGCGGCCATTGAAAGCGATCGTTAGCGAAATAAGCCCCCCTCAATCCATCAGGAGGCGGATCATCTTCATATCTGTAGAATAGAAAACAATAATAATCATGTGTTTTATTTGAAAGTACTTTTAATTGTCTATTTTAATCCCATTTGCACAAATTCTCCGCTTGCCCCCTTGACTCGCCCGGGGGTCACGAGGCAGTTTTTCGAGTCTTTCAGCGACGCCGCCCCTTCCCTTTCGATATCCATTTTGACGTCTTGAATTGCAGATTCAATTAATCCAATTTCTTTTAGAGAAGTTTTCAGCCGGTCTAAACAGTGCACTCCTCGCTGAAGTCGGTTTTCTACTTGTCCACTGGTCTCCTTCAACGCCGCGTGCGCCGCCCCGCACACCCCCTGATATCTGTGCACAAGAAAACAAAGAAATGTATGAACAAATATATATATTAATTGCCTTTCAACTTTTTTGTTTTATCTGCACCAACTGAATAAATTTTTTCGAGCAAAAACGAACCGAAATAACATCCCCTGCAGTCGTTGCTCCTCCACGTCCAGGCTTTCGATCTGCAGCGGATCGTGGATAAATAAACAAATAAATGAATAAATAAACTAATAATTTGTTCTATCGATAAATAATGTAATTTATAAACAGCAAAATACTTAACTAATTATTGAAAAAAATATTTTTTTTTCTGTAGACGCACCATTTCGTCATTGGTGGCCACGAGCGAGTCGAACTCCTTCCTGACGAATGCCCTCAGCGCGTCTTCAGTCAAATAGAAGAAAACGAAATAAATAAACAACAGATTTAAATAAAAAGCAGCAATTAAAGAGTTATTGTTCCCTCTTCTTAAACGCTATACTATGCTGCAGCCTTTGTATTATTCTAATGGAGTCACTGACTGTAGTTTAATGCTGGCGCGCAGAACTCCCAGTCTCTCGGGCCCTTCCCTAGGAGCTGCACCTCCACATAACACCATTCGCGGCCTGAAAGCATATTTTTTGTTTCTCTTTGCTAATGCGACGGTACAACAAAGCACAGCATATCAACCCAACACCACACACAAAATATGGTGGAGATACACTCTAAGTACCTGTCGTTCCATCAGGAGAACGGGCATCTGTACAGTCGGTGTAAGTTTGCCCTTCATGAACAAACGCCGCTGCACACAGCCGCCCGTCAACTGTCTTGCGGTGCCGAGATCGAAATTCTGTTAACTTTTGCAAAGCAGAAGTAAGCTGGTCCCCAGCACCACCGCCTGCTGCTCCTGCTGCTGCAGCTCCACCCCTTGCTGCTGCTGCAGCTGTTCCCGGCGCTGCTGCGCTTGCTGCTTCTCCTGCTGCTCTCCCTGGCGCTGGTGGAGCTGCTGTCCTTTCTCCGCCTGCAGCACCACCTGCTGTAGCGGCAGCACCCAGCTCAGCCCCACAGGGGCGCAGCATTAAATGCATCTGTGGGTGCAGCGGCAGATGCATCTGCTGCAGCAGCATCTCCAGGGTTCCCACCCGCTTCACCGGGGTCTAAAGGGGGGTCTGTGTTGATATTTTCAGCATCATCTGCTTGAGCCGGCGCAGAGGGCTGCTGCAGGTCTGAGGAAAGGACGGGCGAACGAGCAGAAGGAGTCGGAGAGGGAACCGTAAGGCCTCCAACTTCCGGTGAGGTTAAATCGTTTTGAGGGTTGGAAGAAGCAAAAGAATTAAAATCAGAGGGAGAAAACTGGGCGAGAGAAGAGGAAATAAACAAAAACAAAAGCAAAAACGAAGGCAGAAAAAGAAGAAGACGAGAACGAAGGAACGTAGAAAGCGAGAGAAATGACTTAATCATTGCAGCCTCGGCTTTTACAAAAACACCCAAGGCAGCATAATTAATTATATTACTTTAATTTTACAATAATTCGCAGCACTTATGGGGGAAAAGAAAAAGAAAGGGCGTCGGAAGCCTCGTTCAAGTTCAAGAAAGCCAACAGCTTCAGGTGTATATACACCTGAAGGGTTGACTACGGCTTCAAGCTCCGCACAGCATTTCTTCTGCATTTAAATTGAATAAATAAAGCAAATTAATATTCTTTTTTTCTTCCGAATGCCTGTTATTCTATTTCAGTTTCTTTCTTATGTCACCGAAGTTACTTTTTACGCGCCTTTGCAATAAATTGTTGATATTGCGATTTTTCTTTTGGTGTTTGATTTCTCTTGGGTTTCTTCTTTCGTATTCATGTAAACCCTCTTTGCTGTTGTTTGACTAAGAAAGATGCAAAGCAGAAGTTAAATATTTTTTTGTGTTTCTGTGGTTTCCCCTGCCGCGACGAAAGAAAAACAAACCCCCAAAAGCGGAAGACTCTTTTTGTGTTTCTAGGTGATTTTCTGTATATATATATATATTCTATATATTACTTTTTATGTTTTTCTTCTTTCTGAAACTATTAAGGATACAACTCAAATTGTTTTGCACTGCTGAGTTCTGTATCTGCATCTTCTTGTTCGTTGTTTCCGTTGTTGTCTTGTGCGCTGTTTTAGTTTTATATTTTCTTTTTCTGTTTGCATTCGTCTACCGAGCGTCAAGCAACCGCAACAACGAAGGGACTTGGACCGAAAACAACCACCAACAAACAAACAAGCAAGCAAGCAAGCGAACAAACAAACCAACCAACCAACAAGCAACCCAACAAACAAGCAAACAAGCAAGCAAACAGACAAACATGTAAACAAGCACTGGGGCGAGCAAATAAGCAGAAAAAAGGACAGGAGAGTATATGATTGTTTAATTCCTTCATCAGAGAAAAGGTTAATGCCTTTAAAAGCAAAACAGAGGCGAAAAAAGAAATAGTAGAGTTTTATACGAAACGAAGAATTTGCTGCAAGCGCGCCCAGCAGACTTTTACGTAAGCCGGCCAATTAGCATGCATTTAAATCATTGAATTTGTTCTCTTCAGACATTGCAGCAAGTTAAAATTAATTTTTATTTTAATTGATTGATTTATTTTATTTAAATTCTGTTTATTTTTTCGCATAGCAACACTGCACAGCCAGGAGAACGAGTATTGAATACAGGCGAGCCCAACGCCCGCAGCGGGCAAGTGACCTTGGTGCGTGTGTTTGTAGCTAAAATCGGTGAATTTGTCTTTTTTTCTTTTGAATAAAAATATTAAAGATGTATTTTCAATTAAATGCATGCAAAAACGAGAGAAAATGAAGAGAAATTCTTCAAAAAAAGAATCGGCAGCTTCCGTACGACGGCCGCACCATTGGGCGGCCGGGCTGCGGTCTGCGGTGTATACGCAGCTTCCCAATCGGTAGGTAGGTCTAATGCGCTTAAAATAGAGCTAGAAAGCTTATATAAATCTATTTACATTGTTTATTTGAAAAAATATAATAGATGCAGTTGCAGGTAAAGCCCCAAGAGGTGAGGCAGAGGTATAATAATAAATATAGAGGCGTAGATCTGTCGGCGACGGCTTTTGAATGATATCTTTTCTTGTTTTTGTTCGTTTGAAATGAAACATCATTAAAATTAATAATTGAAAAGAAATTAAAAAGACTTTATATTTGAATTATTCGTTTAAATATTATCTCTCTACTTCTACTGCGGAGCTGCAAGTCTGTAGGCGCGGCCCTGTAGAAGCGCTTCTTCTGTTTCTAGAGGCATCTGCAGTATCTCTTGTCTGATTTTCTTTTGTCTGTATCTAAATCTAATTCAATATTTTTCTGTAGTTTATATTTATTGCAAAGTAAAGAAATACATTAAACGCCTGCTTCGCTGTTTGCTGCTTCTGAATTGGCGCCGCCGCCGACCGGCCCTCCTTAAGTCCGGTGCTGCTGCTGCTGCCTTTGCTGCTGCCTTTGCTGCTGCTGCTGCTGCTGCTGTTGCTGCAGCAGCAGCTCGGGTTGCTTCTCAAGATTAATATCTCTTTTTGTCTTAAAAGGCTGTCTTTTCTTATCTCTTTTTAAACTTTAATCAGAGGAGCGGAGACACCGAGCTCGTCCGGAGCTGCGTTGCTGCTGCTGAGCATCGCGAGCCGCCTCGACAGCAGCTTTGCTTCCTTTGCTTTGCTGCTGTTGCTGCTGCTGCTGCTGCTGCTTGTCTTCTTCTGCTTCCATCCTTAACAGCTGCAGCAGCAGCAGAGGGAAGAGGAGGCCTCTCGGCAGCCCTGCAGCAGCAGAAGCGCTCAACTCCACCGGTCGGTCCAGCACGCAGCAGCAGCAGAAGCAGCAGCAGCAGCAGCAGCAGCAGCA